TCCATATTTTTACAGTTGGCAAAATCAGCAAAGGAAGCGTCCACCCCACAGCCACATGCTGGCTAGTGGCGGGGCAAGGATGAGGACCCCTGGTTCCTGGTCCCAGAAACATGAGTAGAAATATGTGGAAAGCTACACCTACCATTTCAGGTGATTCCACTTCATTAAGAGCTGGGGCTTTAAATATTCATGAACCTAATGTAAACTATGGACTTTAGCTAATAATAATACATCAATATTGGCTCATGATTATAACAAAGGCACCACACTAAGACAAGATGGGAATAATAGGGGAAACTGGGTAGTGATACCAGAGTAATAGGAATTTTCAGTACTTGCTGTTTACTTCTCTATAAACCTGACACTGCTCTAGTAATTAAGCTTATTACTATTTTTTAAAATTTCATTAACATGGGCTCTATTTGCAGTTTATGGGAGAGAGCAATTTTTCAGTTCACTGACCCACAACCTGAGAACAGATTCTAGGCAAGAAATCCACACCAGCTGTGGAAATCAAATTCCTTCTCTCCTACAGAGAAACTGAGGAGTCCTCCAGTTCAAATCACAACAGGTTACATTGGAAAATGGGTCAAAACTGAGGACTTTGCCCTTTAAGAGCCATAAACTGAAGTTCAGGAAACAGGTTACTTAGATGGCTAATCCTCAGCACTGAACAGATACTTTGAGAGACAAAGAAATAAGAAAGAATAATAAATAAGAGAAGAGAGAGCTAGATAACGAAAAAATAACAGAAGAGAGGGAGGAGGTGCTGGAAGAAGAGTTGGGGAGCAAAGGGGCAAGGAACTGGAGAAGGGGCGGGGGGAAGGGAAACAAACAGGTGAAAGATGGGGAGAGGATGAAGAACGTGGGTAAGATAATTGACGTTACCCCACATCTCAGACAAAGCCAGAGTTTCTCTGGACATGTCTTGGGTATGCATCGAAATAAGCACCCTGCACAAGTGAGGTGTAGTTAGCAATGCAGTTCATTTTTATTAGTTATAAATAAAGTACAAAAAATCCACCAAAAGTGAATCTAAGCATTTACACAATTCCTAATGTCTCCGCCTTTTCATTGATGCACTATTGCTTTAATATTCATAATAAATATTCTTCTAGCTTTCTGCTATAAAATAGTCTATGTAGCAAAATGTTGCACAGCACAACAGAACAGAACAGCAGGAGGATTACAAAAAAGGACAATCAACACTGAGGATAATCCTTTCACTTACCAGGGGCAACCAAATTACCCCCTGAAGGACCTGTGCAGCTGGCTCCATAGCTGAGAAATGAGCCACAGCCAAGGCCAGGGGTGGGGCTGGGGAAGAGGAAGGCTGGGGTGAGGAGGGGTGGGGGCACAGGCCAGCAAGGGCAAAGGGCCCCTCCCCCCTCTGACCCTGCAGAGCAGCATAAGGCATGTCTGTCCAGGAGCCCTGCCAAGGGGCAGTGTCTGCCAGTGTGGTGGCCATGTGTCCCGGGGGTCAACTCCACAGGCCATCTGCAAGGAAAGTAGAAGAGCAAGACTCCAGGTCAGAGGCAGAAGGGGAAGCTGGGCAGGCAGCAGGCAGGAAAGCCCAGGGAAGAGGACCCATTGTCCAGCCAGAGCAAAGTTGGGGCTTAGGGATCCTGCACAGCGTGGGGACCATGCACGACCCAGCCTGGCCAGGCAGTGTAGTGAATTGGGCCTCTGCTTCCTCCCCCATCAGCACCATCCCAGGGGGCCTCATGTGGAGGGTGGACTTCTCCACCAGGCAAAGGCAGTGATGTCAAGAGGCAGGAGGGAAGGGTGAGCTGGAAAGGAAGGAAAGGCAGGAAGGAGGGACATGCAGAGAGCACAGGCACTTCTGACCAGGGGCCCGGCATGCTCAGGGGCTCCTCGGGGACCTCCTCTATCTCCTTTTTGGCTCAAGGCATCTGGACTCATGGCTCCCAGTCCTCGACACCGCTGCCGCCCCAGACCCTCCCTCGCACTCTTCTCAAGCTGTGGAACTGAAGCCCAGCCCCTGTCCTGCCCACAGCCCCCAGGGAGCAATGGCAGAGGGTGACGGATGAGATGCTGGGGATGAGAGACCGTGAGGCCAAGACCTGTGTCCCAATCTGTTGTCAAGGTGGAAGAACAGGGGCGCCCATCCCAAAAACTGCATCTTGGGGTTTGTGTTCTGCTACCCCATCCTCATAGTGAACAGGCTACAGATTTCAGCTCACTCTCAAATACCCGTGAGAATTGGTGAAAGAGCACGCTCCGTGTCCAGGGGTGCGCTACCTGGCTTGCCTCCCTGCCACCTGCAGGATGCTGCGCACAAAGGGTTAAAGGCCCCTCTGGATATCTCCTGCCCACAAGCCCATCAGATGAATTCTCAGCTTTCTCTCTCTTCCTCTCCTCCCCTTCCTTCCGTCCAGCCTTTACTTCTCTCACAAGGAGAGCTAGCACAGCAGGTGGTCTTCCACCAAATCTGTTACATTCTGAGTCTGAGGGACCCTGAAGATCCTCCAGTTCATCTCTCTCAACCTCACCCAGAAAATGGAGACTAGGGGAGACCCGGTGACTTGCTCAAGGTCTCATGGGAGTTGCAGCAGGCCTGGCCCGAAAACCTGTGCTTCCTGACAGCAGTCCCAGCTGCCTCTGCCGAGTCAGGTTTTTAGGCTCTTGGATGCTCCTGCCAGTCATGTGCAAAGGACCCAATTCCGTTGGGCCCCAGGTGGAGAGAGTGGCCTCTAGTGCCCCCAGAGCTTCCTCAGGATGGAGGGAGGTGGGCTAAGGTTGTGGGGAGGGCTCAGGAAGAAGGAAAAACAGGTTGATGATGAGGAGCTGGGGGAAGCCAGGGTAGCAAGTGAAAGGATTACCCCAGTCAGCTGACGAGTGCAAATTATATTTATATATGTGCTAAATACAGTCACTATATTGGAGTTTTTCACTAGATCACAGCATACAGAATCAAAGGTTTGCATTTCGTATGGAATGTATCCAAAGAGGCCAGCACCACAGTAGGACAGCTTGCAATCACACACCCTGATAGTTTGGACGAAATAAAGTTCGCGGAATTTTATTTAAAATTTTTTTTTGTATTCGTAGTTGTTTGTCATCGTACCAATGCATGCAAAGCATTCCACTCCCAGAAACAACGCCAAAATGAGGTAATAGGAGTAATAAAAAAAATTAGTATCCTTTCTAAATAAATAAATTATAATTAAAAATGCAAAACAACTATAAAAATAATTAAATAAGAACCCACAATATCTACAAGTTAGTCATAAATTATGATTGTTAAATATAAGGCATTTAAACTCACAAAACCCTGTAAACTAGCAACGTGCCATGTTTTTTGTTTTTTGTGTTTTTTTTTTTTTCATTTTTGTTTTTCTATCAGCTGAAATCGCTCTAGCATTTGCTCTACGCGCGCGCAGGAGATGAAACACGAGGGGGGACCTGACAGACGTTGCTACAGCCCCACGCGGGGAGTGTTTGTCCCGCCGGCAGGCGGGCTTGGGGGATTTCTTCAGGAAAAAAAAAAAAATCTGGTGCTTTTTCTTCACCATTGAAAAAACTGTGCTTGTTCATTAGGCGTAAAGAGTTAAGAATACTTGCACGGAGGCCGGGAGAGGAGCTTGATTTCTTGAGGCCTGCCACAGGCGGTGGGCAAGAGCGACAGGGCCTGAGGGAGGGGCCCGCGCCCGCCGGGCCCTCTGCCCGCCACGCGGGTCCTGGCGTGGGTTTCCTGGATGGGCGTCCTCGGTGGGCCCCGTGGCGGTGAGGGCTGCGCAGCGGCTAGGAGGAGGCCCGACTTGGATCCTGGGGCAGCTGTCGCCCCAGAAGGCACTCATGCGTCTCAGTCAAGACAGGGTCTGAGTCCCTTGAGTAGAGCAGAAGGAGAACTAACAGGTCCCCCCTCCTGGAGATGGTGGGTGTGAGATGCTGAGGCCAGACCCTGCCTATTCTCTGCTCTTCCCAGGCCCTGGACCAATGTGGGGAGGGGTTCTTAGGGGATCAGAAGCACAGATCCCCTCCCCTCTCTTCTCACCCAGGGGCCTGCCCTGCAGGGGAAGTCAGGAGCTGAGAGGAGCCCTAGTCCAGCTCACCTCCTGTGCCCACCTGCGGAGTACAGGGTTCCAGAGGGGGGGGTCTTCAGGATCCACCCCCAATGTCGGTGGCTATCCCGTGGCCTCTGGTGACCCTCTGCCCCAGTCTGTAAGCCTGAGCACCCAGGGAGTCTGCAGAGAATTGGGAGGAGGAGGGGTGTGCAGCCACTGCATCCCCTGAAACAGAAGCTGGTGCCACAAAAGGTCGTTTTCAACAGCTCAGTGGGCACACAGCTCTACCCACTTGAAAGATATATTGATGTTGGGGAGGATCAGAGAGTGTGGGTGTTGGGGGAAATTGAGCAAGCATCCAACCCAACCTCCTTGTGTTGAGGCCCAGAGACCAGGTCTCCCAGAACCTGAGTTCTAGCATGGCCCAAGCGTTCCATGAAGACCTAACACTAGCACCCCAGACACCGGATCTTGTTCCAGCCTGCCCTCCATGCTGACCCCCTTCTACCTGCTAGCCTTTAAGACAACCTCATAGAGAAGATAAACCAGAGACAAAGAGGGAGTGGCCCTCCCTGAGCCACCTTGGCTACCTGCAGGGCAAAGCAGGGGGAGGTGGGAAAATGCCCAGCTTCTCTCCAGGCTACGAGGAAGCTCCAGGCTCAGAGGTACTTTCACCACTGGCAAGATGTGCCTTTGGCCCTAGCGATGCTGTTCATAGCCTGGCATCAGTGAATTGAACAAAGTAGTGCCCATTGCCAGGAGCTTAAATCCCACTCTGTTCCCTGGGGTTCCTCACCTAGACGGGAAGCTCCTCAAGGGTTGCTTTTGCTGTGGCCTCTCCCAATACCTGCAGCAGCGTGCTCTCAGTCACTGTTACAGAGCACCAGGGTGCTGGTCCTGACAGAGACCTTCGTCTGCATAGAAGCCTCCAGTGGTCCTCCCACTAGAAGCCCAGAGCAGCCCCACCCACTCCTCACAGCCCTGGTTGTGTCAGAAGACCCCACCTCAGCTCAAATCTGCTTCCCCACGCATTTTACCTGCTGCTCTTGGTTTTATCCTTTTGTAGCAGCAATGCAAACTCAGCTTTCCTTAACCTTATGGAATTTTTTCAGATAGGTGATAAGAATCCTATGCTCCTTAGTCTTCTGTTATTATAAGAGCCTTGAGATGGAGGCGGGGGACCTGGGATCATAGGCTTTGAGAGCAGTGCAAATGAGGCACAGGAGTGGGGAGCAAAGGAAGAGACCAGAATTCCAGGTGAGCTGCTGTTTTCCACATGTGGGTAAAGGAAGTTGGGTTGGGGCTGGAATTTGGTGGATTTTTCTCATCTCCATACATCTGTCCTCCCATCTCTCTGTTCCCTTTAAGGTTCAGGAACATGTGGGGTGGTGAAGAAAGACACACTGTGATACCACAGGGAACTTCCACATCTGTCTCTCCTGCCAGCCCCTATCCCTAAACCCCAAGGATCTTCCCAGGAGAGAGCATAGGATGCATCAGGCAGATAGTATTTATCCTCACGACGTCTAGGTGAGGTAGAGCAAGTGGAAATGGGGATGCACTGTCATTTCTCCCCACTCTAAGGGGAAGGAAACTGAGGCACAGAGAAAGAAAGGGACTTGCCCACGAATATCAAAGAGCAAGAGGCAAGGGACGCAGAGCCTCCAAACCCAGCCAAGGTGGTCTCAGGGCCAGGGTCATCTCTGAGCAACTCCATCAGGATCCAAGACATCCTAAAGGAAGTTCAAGGTCATTCTCAAGGCCCATGACTTCACGTCAGTCCCTGTGTAATAACTGAGAACGCCGTGGCCAAGACTAAATGTCTACTACTTATACTATTGTGTCTTTATCATCCGGCTAATTTTTTGCATAAGGAGGCAGTGGCCAAATTGCCTCTTAGTGACAGGGCATGAGCAGAGCTGAGAGGAAGAAGTTGGCATGACCAGGGGCATCCTGGCTTTAAGGAACAAGGGGGCAACTCTAACCGAAGACTGACCTCTCCCTGGTTCCTTGTGGAATTGGGGTGGGAGGAATGGCTGGAAACAAGGAAATGAGCCCTGGAACTGGGAAGCCCCCCTTTCAAACCAGAACGCCCTCCTTCACCTACCCAAACTCTTCCTAACCTTGACTGAGCCCCTCAGAGGCCCGTCTAAGACCCCTGCCTGCTCCTTCTCCAGGCCTTCCCTCTCCCAGATGCCCCCTCCATGCTCCGTGCACTGTAAACATGAGAAAAACAAAAGCTAAGGAGAAAACAAAACCAAGGACAAAACGAGACACCCCCCTCCCGCCTCCCAACCTGGGTGAAAAAAAAAATCATCCTTTTCACCGTAAACAGGATTTGGCTTTTTTTTTTTCCACCTTCGATTCCTTTTTCCTTTCCTCTCATAAAGACGGGAAGATTTGGGCTGTCGTTGGTTGGGTTCAGTCAGGCACCAAAACAAGAAACTCAATGAGAAATATTTGGTGCGAATTCGGTAATAGCGACATGTCCACCACAAGATGACTAGAGCACCACACACGACATTTTTCTTAAGCTAACATGCTCCGGCTGCCATCCACAGAAATAGCTAGAGACCCCTACATGGTTTCTACGTGGTCGAGAGGTATATATACAATCCTTCGAAGGACAGGATTGAGGGGCTGGTCGATCAGCTAGGACCTTCAGGATCACATCTGGATTCTCAGCAGCGTGGGCCCCCCTCCCGCCCCTGCTCCGGCCAGCTCCCGCCCTCTGCGCAGCGGGCGAGGTGAAGGGGCCCTGACCATTCCCGATGGCGCGTCCTCCCCGGCCCCTCCTCTCCCTCCGACACTGACACCACCAACTCCTCTTTCCACAAAATGTGCTTGCAGGCTTTTCCTCTACATCAAATGGCTCAGAAGGCAAAGTTTGGCTGCAAGGGCTATGGCCGTGGGGGGGACCTGGTGAAGGAAAATGGGGCGTCCACTGGCTAACTCCTCCCTCAGCTGTCGGCTCCCAGTTGTGTCTCAATGTCCACTCGGCAGATGGGGCATTTCTTGCTCATGGCGAGCCACTGGTCCACGCACAGCTGGTGGAAGAGATGCATACAGGGAAGACGCCTGGAAGAGAGAAACACACTCAGAGGAACAGTGTGGGGACTCCCTGGAGCTGCACCAGGAGCCAAGGGATGCTGGCTACGCTGCGGCCAGGAGACACACAGCCGGGACCCCTGGGGGATCGTCCAAAGAGGATCTTGGCAAGAGTGTGGATGGGAAGGGAGCTGGTGACAGGGAGTAGGTCCCCAAGGCCCCCTCCTCCAGGAAGCCTTTTCATATCAACCTGAAACAAAGTCATGGCGATTTTAGACCCACTCAAGCCAAATACTACACTGTTCTCTATGCTTTGCATGCACAAGTTCAACTGCCTGGCCACCACACATCTAGAACATCCCATATCCCACCTCCCTAGTGCAACCAAGAAGCACACTACGGCACACTAAGCACACACACTCAGCACAGACACACACAAGTCACAAGCATGCTCACACCAGACATAGTGCTCCTAAATGATTGCCAGTGCCTGCGAGGGAAGAGAGAGGAACGAAGAGGCCGGCCTCCTACCTCACATCTTCTCCGTCTTCCAGCATAGACAGGCAGATCGTGCATTTCTCATCTGTGTCTGACTCCTCCCCGTCTTCCTTCTTGCCCTTGCCATCCTGCGGTCTTCGCTGGGAGAAGCAGAGGAGCATTGATCACCTGGTGGCCATGTCTTTCATCCACAGCCTCCACTCCGCCCCTTGCAGCCCCTTCCCCAATGAGTCAATCTCTTTTAAGCTCCTAATAATGCTCAGACTTCTGTGCTCTTCTCAGATCTTCTCCCTGACTCTCCCCAAGTCCTCCCCCTTCCAGCAGGAAAGAGAGCTTGTCAAGTGAGGAAGAGACCAACTGGACTTTATTTTTGCTTCCAAGCTAAACTTACACTTTCCCAGGGGCTAGAATTTGGGGAAGAATTGGGTACCAAATGCAACAATCCTTTGCAAAACAATGGCTCTGCATAAACTGCTTCCCCCACCCCTTTTGTTCACTCTTCCTTATACCCCTTCCAGCCTAAATCCCTGCCTCCAGGCTTCTCCCTCGCTCCATTTGCAGGCCCAGGTGCTTCTTTCTGCCTTTCTGCCTCCCTCTCTCCCAGCTTTCCCCCCTCCTCCACTTCCTTCCTCTCAACTATTGTCTATTCACTGATTCACTCATTTTTAGATGAAGGCAAAACTCCTCAACCTGTCATTAACTTTCGTAATTTGTATCACACTGTTGTTTTATATGGTTGGATATCTCTTTCTGTCCAAAAGTTTCTTTTACGATAGGTACTAGTTCCAACATGAGGTCAGACATCAATGCAGGCACTCTGTTAATACTTGTTGGTTTTAATTGTCCTGTTTTAAATTCTACAATAATTATTTGAAAAGTTTACCACTATGTACAAAGTTTCAAGTTCCATGATGGTGTGAAGTGTGGCTTACTCTTCTTTAGGGTACAAAGCACATCAGTGATGCTTAATTAGTGTTCTGGTTGGGGGTCGGAGGTTGGGGGAGAGATGGAATCAGGGAATGAAATTAGTCTACCTTTCTTGTTCCCATCTCCACACCGTGCAGAGAACAGTCTGGTGATACCCATGGGAGAGACCTTTACTTACTGTTCCCTCTTCTGGGATAAGCAGACTTAAACGTCATTTTGCTGAAAGATAACCTGAAGAGTCACAAAATGAAGACCACCAGGGAATGACCTTGACCTGAGGGCCAGCCCAACATGGAAGGTCTCCCCACTCCTGTCCCTGATTCTAAGTCCTGGAGTTCCTTGGCAGCAGCAAAGGAGAGGCCCTGGGAGGTATCTTAGCTCTGCAGCATCTAACCAGAGCAAAGCCATCCAGATTTTGGTCTGAGTCCTCAATGGACAACGGAGCCAAGGTCAACTAGATGATCTGAACCCTCTAGCCCCCAACTATGCAGATCGACCTGCTGGCAGACTCACCTTCTTATACTTATGGGGGAAGGTGAACCGCTCAATGGTGTTCTGTACAGCTCCCCGAGTCACATTTCCCAACCTGTCCTCAAGCTGCAGCAGCTCCTGAAAAAGAAAAACGTGGATGTTCACATACACATACACACACACACACACACACCAAGGATGATGGACCCTGAAAGGTGTTAGCAGCAAGCATTCACAGAGCCATTGGGAAGAACTGGTCTGAGCAAAGCACCAAGATATCTCTACTCCCTGCCTTTTTCTCTCTTACTGTCAACTCTGGGGCTCCCCACATCCACCTATGCTCGCCCTAGCCGTGGAGGAGGAAAATGAGCAACTATGGTACCTCTCCCAAACAGGTAGGAACCAGGCTGGCAGGAGGAGTCCCAGACAGGGAGGCCTACCTCATAGCTCTCCCTCACGGCGGAGGTGTGTCTGCTGGGGTTCAGACCCTGGAGAGCAAGGAAGTGAAGCTGAGGGTAAGGGTAGTTTCGGATTTCATGGACGACCTGTTGGGGAGAAAATGCTTCAGGCTGGATTCAAAGTTCACAAATGTCGTTGCTTCCTCTCCTAACTACCCTGCAGCACATGAGCGCTAGCTTTCTTATCCCCATGTCTCTCTCTTTCATCCTCCTCCTCAGCCCCAGAAAGAATAACAGCATCAATAAAGTAACAGCTAATCTGACTGGGCTTTCTTCCCTGGCTGGTGCTGCTCTAAGTCAATTATCTGATGTATAATGTGGGTACAACTACTACCCTCGTGTTGCTGACAGGATAAATAAGACATAACTAGATTAAGCAAAGGGCTCAAGTTATACAAGCAAGTGGCAGATGCAGGATCTCAAAGCCACACTGGGTGGCAGAGTCCACTCCTTGCTCTACTCTGTGCTACCCCAGAGCTGGGGCTGGGGCCTGGATAGGGCATATGAGGGCATTAAACTAAAAGACTCAAGGTAAAGTATTTTACACAATTAAAGAAAAGATTAATGCAAATAATCCCTAACAAATAAAATATGATGATTTTTAAATAAAGTGAAGGATCTGACCTGTACTGACTAGCCTGGCCCTGCTCACTCACCTCTCCCAGACCTGGCTCTGCATCACAGGGGACAGATTTTCCCCTTTGCTCCTCAATTTACTCATTGCATGACTGAGCCAGTTAGTTAAACTTTCCATGCTTCATTTTGCAGATTTTCAAGATGAGGGTAATAATCTTTCATGTGGGGTTATGAGAAGCTTAAACATGCATATCTTAGATATGCAAACTATTTGACAGTGCCTGGTATGCATTAAGTGCTCAATAACTGCTAACTTAATTTCTTAGGAGATGGTGCTTTATAATGCAAACCGCATACCCTTAGAGCTGATAAGAACTTCAGAGATTTCTCTCATCTTACAAATAAGGAGATGAGGGTACATGGGGGTTTGGACACAGGCACAGGGGAATAGGACACAGGGGAGCCCCGACTCGGGATTAGGAAAAACCGCAGGCCTCAGCCTGCTGTTGGCAAAAAGTGAGGAAGCTTCCTGGCAGAGCCTTTTCACTCACCATCTGCGTGGAGGAGGAGTTTCTGGGAAAGTGGTGCATTCGAGGAGTCGCTAGGTAATGCTGATAGTGCTGGGGGAGGGGCCGCACCTGGAACTGGGCAGGACTCAAGCCAGCGTCCACGCTGAGATCCCTGCAGGAACAGGCCACGTGAATCACAGGCTGAGGTGACTCAGCTGTCAACCGACAGCAGGACCTCAGGCTCCCAGCCCACACATTGGCATGAGGGTTACAGCTGCCAGTGCCTCACAGACTCGACCCCTAAGCCTCCCCGTCTTTAGAGCAAAGGAAACAGAGACTTGAAGAGAGAGGCCTCTGCAAGGTCTAGGCCCCACAAAACTTCTGGAAACTACTGCACCAAAGCTCCATCCCAAGACAAAGCCCATCCCTAAAACACCGGATGGAGTGGGTCAGGAGATAGTCACCAGAGGCTAACCAGCAAGACACAGATGAGAGGAAACTGCAGAATAAACCACCCTATTTCTTCAACAAATACATTTAAATATAATTACATGGATAGAATTATGTTTATATGTTTCACAATTATATTTATGAACTATAGATCTAAATAGAGCAGTAGGGTTATATATTTCCTATTATTTATGGGAATTTCTGTTTCCAACCATGATGCCATGATATATGTATATTGCTATTTCTTAGATATGTTAACCTGAATCCCTGAAACTACTCTGATGAGTCTGTCATTAAGGAAAGACAAAAACTCTTGAAGCCAGTTGGAAACACATCTGGAAATCCACTAGCTTAGCCCCTTGGCAGGCATAGCAGAGGCCTCCCCTTGTCCTGCCTTGGAGAAAGGACCACTGGGTGGGGGGGGCACCTGCATGTGGCAGATGCTCTGATTCTTAACATTTACTCAGGAGCCTCAGGGAAAAATTCAAAGCAAAAGAGATGTTTAAGGAACTCTTTGAAAAGCGAAGTCCCAAGGAACGTGAGCAGTGGGCCCCGAATCCAAGCATGCTGCTTTGGGAAGCAAAGCACCTTGGTCCTCAGAGGTGAGGGATGGTCTGGCCCACTGGAGGGGAGTTGGGCTCTGGGGTCACGTCTGAGCATGTCATCAGCATATTCCTTCCTGAACAAGGATCCTTACTAGGGGATGCTGCACTGAACCTAAAGAAAGAAGCCTGGGGGGTGGGGGGCGGGGTGTTGCCCCGAGGACACATTTACCCCTGGAGAAGCAGCAGCTCCCACTTGTCTGCTGTTGCCACCAACCCATGAGAACCTGGAGGAGTTTCCAAAGGGGTCACAGAAATGCTCCCCAGACCTAAAGATACAGGGTTACCCAGAACGCTGCCTGGAGATTTCTCATGGATTGCCTCAGTGCACAATTTGTATCCATTGTGTCTCATCATCAAACTGAACCTGATTTTCCCCTGGCAGTGGTCTTGAAGGGGTGGGGGTCTGATTGTTCCATAGACCCTTACATTCTTCCAGGGAAGCTGGCCTCCAAAATGCCCACTGCCTTGTGGCCTTCAGCTCCATTTCTGGAACGACTTAGGACAGAATTTAGTGGTTTCCAGTGGTTCTCAAAAGAAAAGGGAGGAGGGGCACAGACACACTCTCCCCTCCCCCTTCCTCCTAGAGCTCTTTGCAGAGGGTGAGGGCAGCCCATCAGTCATACATCCCCTGTAATCTAATTTCCAGACTGCCTGTCTCCTGGCTGAAGAGTCCTCTTTGGAAAAGAGGGGTGGGGAATAGTATGCATCATCACAATTAGAAATGTTCCCTTCCTTGTCGCTGCTAGGCTGGCCCTTGCTGGAACAGAGCTAATTACAAGGGAGGAGAAATTGTCACCTCCTCCTCTGCAAAGAGCTTCTTACTTGGAAAGTAGGGACAGGACAGGCAGGAAGGGCCCTGGGTATACCCTGACAGGACTCAGGGTAGGGGCCTCTTAGGGTAGGGACCTCCCAGCACCCCCAGGTGGGGCACAGTCCAGTTCCTGGGGTCTCTCTGTGTAAGCAGGGGTCAGGTACACCGCGCTTGAAATGATCAAGGAGGAGGATATTGACCAAAGAAAGAAAGGTGAGGCAGGGCTAACACCGGCACCACTCCTCCTGGCATCTCTCCAGGGCGACTTTCACCTATGTCACCTGTGCAGTCCCATTTGCCGCGATGCCCGTGTTTATTCAAATCACTCAGCCGAGTGCCAGGGCCCTGGTGCTCTGATGTGCTGAACTGAATTAAATTAGATTGACTTGACTGCTGAGGGACAGATTTCAAATCCAAACCGCAATTAAATCTTCTTAATTTGAATCTGCTAATTAGAAAAAGGCTGGGCTGAAGTTGGCTGTAGTGCTTTCTCTCTTTTAAGGGACTGTTCAATCTAACAGGGAGTGTACCTGAGAACCAGCAGAGGAGACATCGGGATGTGTTAAAATGGCTATTTCCCCAACTAGTAGCATCTTTAGCATCCAATCAAGCAGAACTATCCGATTGAGTCATTCCTAGGTATCCAGTCCAGGGCTGTTTCCAAAGCAATCCTCAACTAAACCAGTTGCTGAAAAATAATTGCACTGCATGTCTGTCCTCTTAAACAGTCCATCCGTTACCACTGAGGTTTTTTGTTGGTTTGTTTCTACATTCTTAAAAAAATCTTCCTGACCTCTAAGTTGCAAGGACTGCATAAAAATTCCTGGATACCCTTCACCCACAGTCCCCAAGTATAAATGTTTTCCTATTTTACTGCATTTCTATTTCCTTCTCTCTCTCTCTTTCTCCAGATACCTACACACGCACTTCCCCCCTGGATAATTTTTCTGAACTATTTAAAATTAGCTGCAGGCATGATGCCCTTTACTTCTAAACACTTCAGAAACTGGCAAGTCTTTTTCGCATGTTAGAGTGCTCACATCTGACCCTAGTTTATAGATCAGCCTCTCCCGAGCTAGAACCAGTGAGTTAGGTGGGACAAAGGGTCTAAAACCCAGCAACACTGCATCCCAGAGCACCAAAGACCTCTGCCCTGAGTGCAAGAGATTGTGGGCCTGATGCCTACAACACCACAACGAAACCCTCATTCTACCTCCCCAGCTGCTCTCCCGAGTCCTTACCTCCAACCCAGCCAGCTCTGTCTACATTCTTTAGGTTTCTCTTGAGGTGTTTACACTACCCCAACCCCACCTGACACTGCCCTGCCTGCATGCCCAGACTCTTCTCCGTGAACTCTTGAGATGCACCACCTCCAGGAAGCCTTCATTGACTACCCTAGCTCCTGAGGCCCTCCTGTCTGCCCTCCCCCCAGGGGCTGACCACTGGTTCCCACACCTCATTGAACTTGGGAGGTGTTTGTATACCTGTTCCCTCTCCCCTTGCAGGATCATGCATACTGAGCCACAGATTGGACACATGAGGACACCCAGACACATATGAATTCACTGCAGGAACCACAGCCAGTAGGGGCCTTTTTGGGGCATGGGGTTTAGCTGAGGGAAGAGGCTTAAAGACTAGGCCTCTTGCACATTCAAGTGAAGGAAACAGGAACTCCATGGGTCAGGCAAGACCCTCCTCCTTTCTCCCCTCCCTTCCATAGGGACCCCATAGACTCACCAGTCAGTACCCTCAGCCAGATACCTGGGCTGAGGTGTCTGGAGTTGGTGGCCGAAGTCAAAGCTGGGGTGGAGGCGGTGGGGGTGGACAGACACACGCTCCTGACTCCGCCTGCTCAGAGAGAAGGAGGGTCCATGGGTTCAGGGGCTCCCAGGAGCATCGAGCAACCCCAGTCAGTGTGAGCCCAGAGCCTACAGAGTTGTGGGTTTTGCCCCTCTTCCCAAACTCCAAAGAAGTTATGCTCCAAGATTATTGGGCAACCGCCAATAATGCATATATTCCTGCTGTCGTGGGACTGCCTCTATACTGAGGCCTCTCCCTGGTGTGTCTGCATCAGGTCTTACCCTGTGTCTTACCCAAACTGTCTCACCTGCTCTGCTCCTTCTCCTATTACTTCCCTTCTGTCCTGGGTAGACTGTCTTCAAGTCACACAGGTCTGCTGCCTACAGGCTCTCCCACCTCTGTGCAGCCCCTCTGCTCCTACCGTGCTCATCTCTACCTTTCTCCACACTCTTCCCAGCTTTTGTGGCTCAGTTCAAAGTCCACCTCCTCCAAGAAGACCTCCATGAACATTCCAGATCATAACTTCTCCACTCTCTGACCTACAATCCTCACCTTCTATCCCAACCTCTACAGTCATGAATGCCTAAGTCTTAGGGATTATTTAGACTGGTGATTATTAAAGTGTGCCCCAAGAACCCCTGTAAATCCCCAGGCCCCTTCATGGGGCTTGTGGGGTCAAGACTATTTTCCTAATAATACCATGGTTTTATTTGATCATTCTCTCACAAGTGAACTGTGCAGTTTTCCAGAAAAATGTGACATGTGATCTTGCAACTGACTGGCTGCAGAAGCAGGCATGAGAACTCTGTTGTCTTATTAAGCCAAGCATTAGAGATTTGCAAATGTTTTTTTTTTTTAAGTTCCTACTGCATTTATATATAGCTATTTTTTTAAAAAATGTATTATTGGTGGGCCTCCCCGGTGGCGCAGCGGTTGAGCGCTGGGTTGCGAAGCTGCCCGAAGCCTCTGCGGCGCCGGTTCGCTCCCCGGCCACCAGAGGAGGGTCCCACATGGCGCGCAGACCTCTCCTGCCGCCCGCTGCTCCCCTCAGCAGTGTACTTCGGTCCTTCTGCCTGCTCTGCTCCCCGCTCTGGCTCTGGTGAATTCTCTCACCCTCCCGTACTTCTGACTGTACCCAGTGCTTGTATAAATAAATAAATAAATCTTAAAAAAAAAAAAAAAAAAAGACTTATTTGTATTTAAAAAAAAAAAATGTATTATTGGTGTTAACATATAATGAGCTTATAACCATTTTAAAATGAACTGACAGATATATTTTAAATTTCTCAGTTTTAATTTCTAATAGTCATAATCCACATAAATAGAGACTACTGTAGTCCTCATAATTTTTGAGAATAGAAAGAGTCCCAAGACAAAAAGTTTGGGAAGCACTGATCTAGTTCGATTTCATTTCTTGACAGTTGACAGTCAGGGAAGTGAAGTGACTTGCTCAGGGCCCCACAGCTGCTACAGATCCATCTGATCAGCATCAGTTTTGCCTACTTTTGTTCCCCATTTGCTTCATAGCTGGTGTCCCCAACCAGCCTGGGCTCTTTGAGGGCCGGGTGACCCACTCATGTCTTTAGTATCCCTTAGGGATCTTGGATGTTAGAACACGGTCATCAGGAGGCTAGAAAGGAGATGAGGGACCCTTTACTCAAATCTCCCACACTCTGCTAAAGTGCAGGGTGAGCATCCTAGACCGCCAGATACCCTGCCCCTTTCCTGCACTGCAGGAGAGGGACATCCCTTAGATCCGGAAAGGCCCCCTTGGGGCAAGGCAGCGCTCACTGCCTGGAAAGGGTTGTCATTAACTGGAGCAAAAGCTGCCCCCTGCAGAGACTCACTTGGTGACCGCTGACCCTGCCGCTGGACAGAGACAAGCACTGACCCCACCCTGGTCCCACTCACCTGGGGTGCGAGACAAGCCTGCGGTGCTGGGCTTCCAGGAGCTGCTGCTGCAGGAGGTATTGCTGGTGCAGGGCCTGAGGTAGGAAGGAGGGACCTGTGACATCCTGGAACTGCAGGGTGGGCAGCGGAGTCAGCGACTGGTGCAGGGTGCCGCTGTGCTGGTGGGCCGGGGCCATGTGGGCGCTGAGGCCTGGCTGCGACTGCACCGGGTGGGCCAGGGGGAAGTCGGGAGCGAGCTGCTGCGGCTGCGGGGGGCCCAGGTGGAAGTGGCGGCAGGAGGTAGCGTGAGGATGCTGAGACCTTTGAAAGGGGGCACCTGGAGAGGTAAGGGCAGAGAAGACCGCCTTGAGGACCAGCACTGCTCCCATCCCCTAAGGTCACCCCCAGGGCCCCGTCCCTGCCCCACCCTCCCTGGGTGTGTGTGTGGGGGGGCAGCCAGCAGCTGCTGAAACTCAAGACCTTTCGTGGAGCATGGAAATGTTATCACTTTTATGCCTGTGGTCATCTTTACTACTGCCAAGGAAAAGCTCTGTGTCTGTGTGTGTGTGTGTGTGTGTTGGAGGGCAGGGAGTGCGTCCTTTAATGAAAAGATAAGGTTCTTTTTTAAAAATTAACACACTTGTTGGGGGAGATTTAAGGTTCAGGAAGGCAATTTGGCTTTCTGGAGTCGGACTCCTCCCTCCCTTGTAACTTCATTGGCCCTTATCCCTGTTCATACAGATGTCTCTAGAGAAAACCGAATTCAGCCTGGCCAAGTCCTAAACTTGACTGAAGCCCTCGGTAGCCAGAACCTAGCCCATAGGATAGATCCCACGCCCTAATTTCCAGAGAGAAAACAATCAGAAGGGGTTTTCTGTGAAGCTTTAAAAAAAAATAATTATACAAAGTAATTTTTATTTAAATAAAAGAATAGCTTATTATAATTTATTTAAAGCAAATATTTCCAGGAATATGTTGAGCTCAGGCTAGATTTAATCTAGTCTCCACTACGTTTGGAAATAAAATTGATCTTGATGACAAGAAAGCCTTACAAATTCTCCATGAAGAAGATCCAGCTCTCAGCACTGCAGCCCTTTAATAAGGCAGGAAAGTGGACTCAGAAAATTTTGCAGGGGCTTTTTGCTAAACATGAGTGCTTCAACACATATATTCTCCTTCCCAAACCCCATCAAAATGAGGGCAAAGGAATAAGAAGATAAACAGACAAGGACAGAGAGAGAGAGCAGGAAAGGTGACATCAGCAGGCAACAGATGTCAACAGATTTTTGGAAGATGGAAAGCAGATGGAGAAATTAGCAGAGCTGAGAAATCAGAAACCAAGAGCCTGTGGAAGGGGTGGTCAACAAAAGTGGATAGACCTTGCCACACATGTTAGAAGGGTCAGGAGTTAGAGCTGCTTTGGAAGACAGGAGAGAGGGTGGAGCTGACAGCATGATCACAAGTCTATAGAAGTGATCGCGTCTGTAGAAGGAGCAATTTGCTTCTCCCCTTTCCCATTGCAGGCAGTGACTACTCCTCTCTCCCCCTGGAATTTTTGCAGGGAAACTCAGCCACAGACTCTAGTAGAGGAGGTCAGGGGTGTGACACCAGGTTCAAACAAGGGGATTAAATCAAAGCCTGTACATGGGGCTTTGGAAATTCCTGTCACCTTTTGCCCCTTGGTTCTGAAAATGCTGTCATTCAGATGTCCTTCCCTGCATCCTACAGAGTCCTGCACTGGAAACTAACTCTGGGCAGAGCTCTTCTGTTGGGAGTCCCCCACCCCAAATGTTTAGGTGCCTGACCGGCCACTTTCTAATGAAGCCCATAAATTGAAAAGTACACACACACACACACACACACACACACACAGACACACACAGCTTTTGGACAGCTTTGAGTGACTTGCTTTTCAATATGTACAGACAGCCCAAGTGTGACCAGTCTCTTGAGGAAGATTACAATGATGAGAGAATATACAAAGTTTTAAATAAGAAAAGAAGAAAAAGGTAATGCAAGGACCAGGAGAAAATAAGCCTCAAAGCACTATAGTTAAAACTCTCAGAGACATAAGATGTTGGATCCATGAAACAGCAAGAAACTCCTTGAAAAGGCAAGGTGAAAACACAAGAAATCGAACTCTTGGAAATATCAAAATGAAAAAGGTGAAATCTGAAATCCCCTAGAAGATTTGGAAGACAAAACTGGAGACAGTTCCCAGGAAGCAGGAAAGAAGACAAAGAGATGGAAAAGAGGGGAGAAAAAATGCAAAACACCAGACAGAAGATTCCACATTTGATGACTAAGAGAGGAAGAATGGAGGAAGCAATAGGGAGGAAATTATGGGAAAAAAAAAAGTAAAGAAATGTTTCCCATAACTGAAAGACTGAGTTTTTTTTGATTGAAAAGACCCTCTGAATATGCAGCAAAATACTAGAAGGGAAGAAGCCCAAGCTGTGGCATCTCACAGTGAAATGTCCAAACACTGGGGGCAAAGAGATGATTCTGACACCTTCCAGAGAGAAAGCAGGCAGGGGCCAGCCAAGGGTCAGGACACAGAAGAGCAGCAGTTTTCTCAAGAGCGGTATCAGAAACTTGGAAACAGTAGAACAACTGCCTTCAAGGTACTGAGGGAGGAAAATGACTTTCAATCTAGTATTCTGTGCCTATCCAAGCTATTAAGAAAGGGAGAGGATAGAAAGGAAAAAAAGGGGCCGAGGATAGGAAAAAAAAAACATTTTTAAATATGCATGCAGGGTCTCAAAAAAAATGAAACTTCTCAATTCTCGTTCCCAAAGAGGCACCAACATAAACCATGAAAGAGAAAGCAAAGAAAAAGGTGGGGTTTCTCGAGCACCCCCAGTAGCCATTTTAAGAGAATCAGGAAGGTAGGTGCTGCAAGGGTATCTGGGACAAGGGTAGGGGTGGAAAAGCTGAGATTACCTATAGACTTGCCACATGACAATAGCATTTGAAGCAATTTGAAGCATTTGAACCAGTCGTCCACACTGGTTTACTCACAGCCCAGATACACCTCTTTACTAAAAATAATTTAGTAAAGAATTTGTAAAAATGTTATAGGAAGAAAGGCAACCCCCAAAATGAGGCAATTATTACTTCCAGAAGGGAAAGTTTTGTGCAAGAATGTATAGTTATTATGCACAACTTGGTTCAGTGGGGCAATATTTTATACACTGCAAATAAAACACTAATAAACTATATTAGAAAAGGACACGTCTTCCATACTGAGATGAAAATAGACAATGTTATAATTGAAAAACCAACAAGTAGCAGCTTAATAATTTATTTAGAAATGTATGTGTTTCCTGAAGTACACACCCAAAGAAGAGCTGGAAATGTTGATTTGGGCGTATGATGGGAAGAGCAAGGGACAGACAATCTGTTTCACTAAATGTGTCTTACGTTGGTGCTATTTGAATTTGTAAACGGCGTGCATGTCATTGATAATTTTTTTAATCTTCTAAGTATAAATATTTGCAAAACCAGGTGAAAATAAAGAGCGTTTCTGACTCTGTGCAGCTTGGATGCCACTAGCTACAGTGAGCCAGAAAAGAATGACCTAGAACCTCATTTCCCACAAGCATTCTGGGACGAGGCCCTCTCTGCTTGGTGAATTCTGGCTTTGATAAGTCCAGGAGCTGTGGCAAGGCAAGTAGGCCGAATTCCCCTTCTCCCTGACTGCACCACCCATGGTCACAAATGACCATAAAAAGAAAGGAGAAGGCCAGCATGGCTGAAGGCAAGAAGAGAAGAGGGTAGCCACTGAAATCTAAAAAGAAGAACAGGGGCCTCCCCGGTGGCGCAGCGGTTGAGCGCTGGGTTGCGAACCTGCCCCTGGCCTCCGCGGCGCCGGCTCGATCCCCGCGGCGCCGGTTCGATCCCCGGCTGCTCCCCAGCCACCGGAGGAGGGCCCCGCATGGCGCGCAGACCTCTCCTGCTCCCCTCAGCAGTGTACTTCGGTCCTTCTGCCTGCTCTGCTCCCTGCTCTGGCTCTGGTGAATTCGCTCACCCTCCCGCGCTTCTGACTGTACCCAGTGCATGTATAAACAAAACAAACAAACAAACAAACAAATAAATAAATAAACATGCCCCTAAAATAAATTAAAAAAAAAAAAAAAGAAGAACAGAATGGGGTAAAAATGAGATGTTGCAAATTTTCTAAATCAGCTCTGTCCCATAGGCTTATCATGCAAGCCGCACCTGTAATTTTATTTTTTTCTAGTAGCCACCTTTAAAGAAGTGAAAAGAGAGAGGTGAAATCAATTTTCATAAGATAGGTGGCACAACTTAATATATTCAGAATGCTATTATTTCAACACACACTCAATAAAAAAAATTATTGAGATATTTTACATTGTTTCTCTACTAGAGATAAAAAACTTTAAAGCCCACGGACCCATGGACAACACATCTCTGTGCAGACTGGCCTAGTTCCAAGTGCTTCACGGCCACCGTAGCTAGTGGCATCCAAGCTGCACAGAGCGCCTCTGCAGGGAGAAATCCAGCTTCAGACATGGAGCAAAACACATAGCTAAGTCTCAGAACTGGTGTGTCTTCCAGTGAGGCGTGCCTGTTGTTTCCAGGTGAGATGCACGCCCCTCAGCCGTTCCCCACTGACACAAACAAGCCTACCCCAGCCGTCCACGCTGGTTTACTCACAGCGCAGACACACCTCACACATTCTCACCCAGGGACCGTTGCTTGTGCCTTCCCCATCTTTAAAGGTCACCTCCCAGCTCCTCCAAAAATGTCTCCCCTGCCCACAGCCCCAGAGGCCTTCCTCCTCTGAGTTCCTGTAGAACGGCCTGCCTCTACCGCTCATTTGGCACCTGGCAGTAGCTACCTTGAGCTGTTTCTTCACACTCGCCGCCCCCAGCTGGCAGAGCTTCGTGCCTTACTGTCTCAGGATCCCCACGCACCTCGCTGGGAGCTGAGTTCATTAAGTACCTGGCTGGTTGGCTGTCGGAAGGACTGAGGGGAAGAGTGGTTCAAGTGGACTGAGGCCCTGAGGCTGGTAGAAGCCGAGTTAGTTTGACATAGGGTGGCAAGGAGGGTGGCAGGTGGGCCTGGGTGAACTCTGGGTTGAAGCTGCAGTGCGGCAGGGTGGGTCAGGCAAGGCTGGCCATATCCTCCCCCTCAGCGCTGGTGGAGCCTCTCCCACCGCCAGGAATAGCATCTGTCTCCTCCCACCAGCCTCTCCTGCCACACGGTGCTCACCCTGCTGGGGGTGCGTTCAGGTTTCTATGGAAGCCTATTGGGGAGGGGACTGATGCCCTGGCCTGGGGGATTTGTGCTCTCCCACAGCCTGTGCC